CCCCAAAACCCCAAAACCCCAAAACCCCAAAACCCCAAAACCCCAAATTCCTTCATGAAACTTGAAACCTCTTAAAACGGTTTTATTCAGGAATCCTATCCATCCTTTACTTAGGAATCTGGTGTTGGTTATTGACTGGGACTATCTTCCTGTTCTGACCCAGTCTGGCAGAACCAATAGGGCCAGCACTGGAGTCTCTGGAAGGGGGATTCTCCCTGTTGAGGGATTTGGAAGTTACTCTGCTGGAGGTCCTGTTCACAGAAACATCACTCACCATTACGTTGTTGCTTGCAAATAGTTCCAAATTTCTTCTATTATAAGGTTGAGGATGAAATTGTGTGGGATGACGAGGCTGAGAGTAGATAGGGAAATTAAAATGGTTTAGGCAGTTTTATTGAAAAATTGGAGTTTCAGTGTTTGAAATTACCTCGGGATCTGTTTTACTTCTATTTTTTCAAGTTCTTTCTCGGGTTTCTTTTTCCAACATTTTCTGATTAAACTGATGATGCTTCCGACTAGAAGGGAAGAATAAGTTTATATATTGAAGTGGTATTTTAAGTAATTTGATAATTACAAAGCCATTGCAAAGTTTTTCACTCTGATTTCTTAATATTTTTATCAGCAACATTATTGGTGATAAGTTGTTTTACTGATTTATAAATTATACTATCTAAGCCACTATATTTGTCTTAATGTCATTTTCTTAAATAATTTATGAATGTTTCTTCATTTATTTTGCTATATATTTCTCAATAATAACTTGTCATTTAGTACATTCATTTTTATATTCTTACGGATTTTCTTTTCTTAACTAAGCTATAACTTTGTACGATGTTTAGAAGTAAATTTAGATCAAAATAACAGCAAAGAAGAAATTTTTATCGGATTCATAATAAAATGCAAAAATTTAAGAAAATAAAATTGGATCTTAAAGAATCAACCAAATCATTATGTCAATAAGAATTACCAAGAATTATGAGCACGATTATGGCCGTATTTGCCATCATTGCTCACAAGTATCAAGTGGTTGGCCATCCTTCCCATTCTTGAACTGAGTTGTATTTTAGAAGGAAAGCAACAAAGAAGATATAAAACACTTCGTTTATTCATTCAACCAAGTTATTCATTTTTCTCTCCATTGGTCTCAGATAGATAATATGGGATGTATAAATAATCTGAATAAACAGCATATATCCAACCAGAATCATTGACTCGAGACTTCTGAATAAAACTAGGAAAATACAAAACATAATCCTTCTCAAAATCAGCAATGGAGTGTAGAATTTGCTATGCTTTGATGCCTTTAGACCTGCAGTAAATTCGCTAAGTTTATCATTTTGATCTTTATCTTCTTCTTTAAACACTTTGATGAGAGATAACACAAAGAAGATAAGTCAAAATATTAATATAAATAGAGCAAATAGTCCAGACACGATAGTTTGTAAACCGAACTGATTCAATCTTTTGAGTTCACTAATTGATGAAATAAAAATAAACTGGTAGGCTTCCAAGAAAATTCTGATGTAAATACAAAATGTAAATAATTTCCATAAATAATTTGAAGGCTTTACCATTTTGTTCCTACAATCATTGTCCAAATGATTTTCTTCTCTTGGGAATCACCACAATATTAGATGAAGAACAATAATGACTCAGAGTATCATTAAAAATCCGAAGTTGTTATTAAATGAACTACCTGACTCGAACCCCATGTCCTCTAATTCAATGCTATTTTGGGTCTTGCCCATCCATCTCAGAGGCACTTCAGATATCATGTTAGATTTTATAGGAAGAAACTCCATGTTGAATGAGAATATCATATTATTTGTAATGTAGCTGATTATATCAGATGGAAGGGAGCTTTTGGTCAATAAAAGAAGAAGCATCAGCTGAATTTGATTTGCCAATGCCCAAAGAGCCATTGGAGCTGACAAAGTCATTAGCGAAACTCAAAGCCCTACGATAGATCCTATTCCTGTTGCAGCTGTAGCACTGGATGACATAACTTGGGCAGATTCAGAAACTTTTACATATCTTCAGGTAGAGTCTTTATCAACATTGTATCCATCTACTCAAGTTACTCATTTTGAACTGTTTTGTGGATCACATATTTGTCAATTATCAATATTTCAGTCCCTTACACATACGCTTTCTGAGGATTGGCTTCCTCCACTACAAATCCATCCATCTTCAATTTTACAGGAATCATTTCAGCCATCTCCTGAATTTACATTTCCATCATCTCAATCTTCTTCCACATCAAGTTGGCCATCTCCTCAAGATATTTCTCAATTATCTTTCTGAGTCGAAGATCCTCCAGTTCATTTATATCCATCTTCCACTTTTCAATCAGATGATCAACCATCGCCGCCAACAGTATTATTATCATCTCAATAAGTTGTTAAAGAGTTGAACCTTCTTCCGTCACCTCAATCTTCAGTTCATTGAGCAGGTTGGCTCACATCAGACTGGGTGCAAGTAAAATAGTCTTCAAGAATTCAATTTGAGTCTCACCCATCAGAGCCGTTTTGGTTACCATCATCTCACTCTTCAAAGTTTCCTTTGACTCCATCTCCTCATTGATCAAATCAAGTTGCAGGGGTTTGAGATCATGAACCTGACTCAAGCATGCAGCCTTCATTTCAGCCATCCCCGTTTGATGTATTTGAATCATCTCATTCTTCGAAGCTTATGGGTTGAATAGTTCCATCTCCTCATGTATCGAAGCCTAAATAATTAGGATCCATGAAAGAGCCATACAAATACTTACTGTTAGGGTAAAGAGCAGTTGTAGCCACTGTCGAGAGAGAATCATCATCAGTAAACGTAAAGCTATAGAGTATATAGCTGTTAGAACTAGCTGACGTTGAACCAAGTTTATATTTAAGACTGTAACTGATTGAGTTTGAATGGGATCCAGCTGAAACTTCTCCAATAGCTTTATGATATAATTTTGTATCAAGAACTCCACTGTTACTACTCAGTCTCACTCTATTCCATCCCTCTATAGAAAATTACACACTAAAAGTGTTACTTTTGATTGATGTTCAATAATTTACACTTGTACGATATGTTGCATATTGATTCAGATTGCCTGAACATTAATTAGGATTAATGAAAATTGTCGGTTTCAAATTTACCAGCTACTTTAAATCCGTCAAGAAGAATCGCTTCTAAGTTCCCATTGTCCTAAAAATTAAAGAAAGCTGGTACATTTATAGTTCCTTCCAAGAAGTAAAAATTGTTATAGTTGAAGATATACACCCAATATTGCATTGAGAATTGTCCTCCTGGAGCAGGAAATTCTCTGTCAATGGTAAGATATCTAGAGTTTATTCTGTAACTTACGTATTTGAAGGAAAGAACATTCCATGAACTGTTAAAGTAGGCTGATTTGTGCTCGGCATGTTGAAAATAGGAGCACTAGGATTCGATCCCTCTTCTGAAAATGAAGCTGGGCTCCCACTACATATAATCCGCACACTTACATAATCTCAGCAAATTTATAATCATATTGGCTTGCAAACCCCAAATCTCACCATAAAATAGTCAAGAATCCCAATAAAAGATATTTCTGCACCTATACCCAACATTAACAACTCCATTCCCTAAACCTCTTCCAAGACCCACTTATTTCCCTTCAAACTTTCCCTTAAATCCCATTCCCCTCAGCCTGGTTCCAAAATCTTACACAAATTCCTTCAGGCATCGTCGTTTCAATTTAAAAATATTTATTGTTAAATTTTCAACTTAGAAGGAGGAAAAGGGGTTTTGGGGTTTTGGGGTTTTGGGG